TGCAGAGGGGGCACAAAGGCACTCTCAGGACATTCCCTATTTTCTCACTTGCAAGATACTCACTATAAATATCCACAAAATGCCTTCTTCAAAGTCCCACCTATGCCCTAATGGTTACAACAACCTAAAAACTCTTTGTCTGGCAATCACTCCAAACAAGTCTGTTCCACATTTCACCTGTACTCTACTCTCTCCTGGTGTCAGTGTTGTCTTTCTCACACACTTTATACAAGCTTCCCAAGGTTTTTTGTTCTGCACCCAGAACAATGCAGTAACAGTCCACATTTGAAGCTCCTAAGGATAACAGTGACACAAATAATGATAACTACAGCAGCAACAGGAGTAGTAAAAAAAGATAGCAAACTTTAACTCATGACCACAGAGCTCTGCACAACAAAAATAGATCTGACATTGTTTTTTTTTTTCCAGTCTGCTCTAAATGTTACAGATTTTAGCTTCCATTTAACAAACCTGACAACTAACAGTTGTGAAATATATTGACAAAGGGAGAGAGACATATTTATCCTCTACAGGAGGCATGAATAAACTCTATGTATCATGCAAGTCCCCACAGACTATCATGTAAGTGATATGACCCACAGGCTTTGGATGAGCTTCACAGAAGTCTCCTAAAGCCACAACACATATCCTAAGGCTAACAACTCAGTTAAATACCAATAAACGCTCACATAAATGTTTAGAATACATTTCTTTAACGCACCTCTTTGGGTTTTGAACCTGGCCATTTCCATACTTCAGACAGAAAACAGTTTTCCTATGAAGATGAAAATGCAATGCAATGCTTTCGATTTTTTTCTACATTTTGTCCAAGTAGTTACATCCTTACAAAATTTCAGCCCTACACGGTGATAATTATAGAAATCTTGATATGACTGGAAACAGAACATTCAAATACATCTCAGTAAGTTCCTGAAATAAACACCAGTTTCACATAATGAATGCCAAACCCTCTCTCTTAAGCCTTGAACAATACAGGGAAAAGATAATTTATCCTCCTTTACCCACGCCAGAAAACACACAAGCCAATCTACACACACATCTGTAATGGGTTTGCATGGCAAGGTTTTGGTGGCAGGGAGGGTTACAGGGGTGGCTTCTATGAGAAGCTGCTAGAAGTTTCCCCTATGTCCAATACAGCCAACGCCAGCTGGCTTTAAGACAGACCCGCTGCTGGCCAAGGTCGAGCCAATCAGCAACGGTGGTAGCGCCTCTGGCCTAACGTGTTTAAGAGGGGGAAAAGTCACTGCACAGCAGCAATTGCAGCGAGAGAGAGGAGTGAGATATGTGAGAGAAACAACTCTGCAGACACCAAGGTCAGTGAAGAAGAAGGGGGAGGAGATGCTCCAGGTGCCGCAGCAGTGGTTCCCCTGCAACCTGTGGTGAAGACTGTGGTGAAGCAGGCTGTCCTGCTGCAGTCCATGGGTGGCAGAGCAGACAACTGCCTACACCCCATGGAGGACCCCATGCCGGAGTAGGTGGATGCCTGAAGGAAGCTGTGACCCCATGGGAAGCCTGCACCAGAGCAGGCTCCTGGCAGGACCTGTGGCCCGTGGAAAGAGAGAAGCCCAGGCTGGAGCTGGTTTGCTGCTAGTGACCCCGTGAGGGAGGCTCACGCTGGAGCAGCCAGTAGCTGTAGCCTGTGGGAAGGACTCATACTGGAGAAGTCATGGAGGACTGTCTCCTGTGAGAGGGACCCCATGCTGGAGCAGGGGAAGCGTGTGAGGAGTCCTCCCCCTGAGGAGGAAGGAGCGGCAGAAACAACAGTGTGATGAACTGACCCCAACCCCCATTCCCTGTCCTCCTGTGCTGCTCAGGGGGAGGAGGGAGAGAAATCAGGAACAAAGTTAAGCCCAGGAAAGAAGGGAGGGGTGGGGGAAGGCGTTTTAAGATTTGGTTTTATTTCTCATTACTCCTCTCTCAGTTAACTGGTAATAAGATACATTTTTCCCAAGCTGAGTCTGTTTTGACCGTGATGATAACTGTTGAGTGATCTCCCTGTCCTAATCTCGACCCCACAAGCCTGTTGTCATATTTTTTCTCTCCCCTGTCCAGTTGAGGAAGGACAGTGATTAAGCGTCTTTGGTGGGCACCTGGCATCCAAGAGGGTCAAACCACCACAACATCATTTAACAAAGTTGACATAGGGTTAAATTTTAAAAAGCACAATAATAGTTTTTCTAGTTTCATTGGAGACATGGTTCTTAATTAGTAAGGTCCCCTAGATGAAATACTCATTAAAGCCATCTGCATCCATATTTAGTAACACAGTTCAAGGACCTGTTTGAATGCTTTTATCTTGTTAGCTCAGCACTATTGGATTTTATGCTTTGAATATTTCATTTGGTTGTGATTTTCACATTATAGTTCAGCAATCAAATGGTGCACACTTAATTTAAAAATCATCAATACTTACGACTTCACTGTGACTAAGAAATAAAGGATGCTTTATATCCTCTCTATGAGCTCAACATCTTAAGCATTCCAAAACATGCAAATTACAACCTAATTTCATCTTTCAGTAAAAACAAAACCCCCTCTTTTTATCTAACAACTGTACAGGGAAAGTTGAAGGACTGACTTCTCAAGTTAAAAATCTGTTACTAAAACAGAGACAATCTAAAGGAGTGGGGTGTGTGTCACTGTCCTGTTTCTTTGCAAACTCACTCTTGATTTATGAATCTCTGTGGTTAGTAACTCTGGTACATGCCTACACCCTTTTGATTTTGTAAGTTGTGCCAGCATATACTTCCAAGTGCTCTGTTATCTCATTAGGCACCACCATTGCTTGGCATTCAAACCTGAATAAGCAAAGTCAGGGGAGTCTTTGGCTACCCTGAGTCCACAGTCAGATAACAAATTATTACATCTGTATCAAAACAGGAAAAGCAATTTCTTAAAGAAGTAGAAATTGCAATGTCTTATTTGTACAGCCATGGGAAAATGGAGGCATTTAAATTGCTTTATTTTGAGGAGGGGGAAAGAAATCTACTCATTGCCTTTTTGACTTGCTTTCAAAGTTATCACAGCCCTAATGACTGAACTTCTCCATGGACGTAGGGAACAGTAAAATGAACACAGCAGAAGTTATCCCATGTTTTTCAATCAGTGCACCTCTAACGTGTTGCACTCAAGTCACGAGAAGACGTGAGAAAAGTCATTTTCATCACTGTATTTTTCACTTCGCTATTGAGACTATCCCTGGCAGAACCAATTGCAACGGACATTGAGGTGAGGAGAAAAGCCATCCGCGTGATCAGCTGGACATAGCTGTCTCACTCACTGTCAGTTGTCATCAGCCATTACAAACATCTCCTCATTCCAGCTGGACTGTGAAAGACAGCTTGGATGTAACACACTCCAGAATTCAACTGCAGTTTTCCTAAACTATCTCTTCACTCTGTATCTGAGAGCTCTGAAATCTGTCAGGAAAATACTATACCACGAACAGCGCAGAAACCCAAAACCTCATTAAGTAAAGAAAAAGAAACAAAGATTTTCTTTCAGCAACAAGTTCTACACAAAGCAAAATCCAGTCATTACCAACCAAATTCCAAAACCTAAGCTTTTTGTTATTAATCTTTAGTTTGATTTATTTTTTACAGATTTTGACTTTTTAAATTTGAATCACTACAAAAATATTTATTTAAATATTTGAAGTCCACTATTCTCAGTCAACAAAAGCTTGCACTAGAAACACAGTGAGCCACTTGAAGATAAGAGCTAGTGTTTAATTGCATTAGAACTATGGCTATAAACAGGTTGATTTTCTGGATCATGTCCAGCCTCACACGGCAGCAAAATAAAGGATCATTTAGAAAAGCTGTGTATTCCCCTAAGGTAGGAAAACCCTTGGCTGAAGTCAAACAGGCATAAGTATTT